TCCACTCCGCACTCCCCCCATCATTCACTATGGTAAGATTTTTTGTTCTGATGATGCCTTGTACCTGATCCCTTCGACACCTCGTGGTTGCATTTTTTTTTTTTAAGGAACTTTCAAAACTAACCCCTCTCCCGTGCCTCGGCTCAGCGCCTGATCAAATCTCTCCAGACCTACTGCAAATGGCCTGACCTCTCTGCCCTTCTACATACACCCCCCACACCCCCAGTGCATCCTGCTTCACGATGTCCACACTCATGAGTTAGCTGTCTCCACGCCGGTCTCCCCGCTGGGCCATAAACTTCTCTAAGATAAGGGGTGCAAGTCTTTTGAGTCTGTACTCCTAGAACCCAGGAAAGGGGATGGGTTGACAGTTCACGTTTGCTGACACCATCGATGAGGAGAGGGGCTTATGCTTCCAGTTTGAATTAAACGTGTGCCACAGGGGGCACTGCCCACAAGATGGGCTGACACCCTGGCTGCAACCACGGGCTCAAACGTCAGAGCAATCTTGAGGACAGACGGTACAGGACTGGGCGGAGTTTGCCTACGAGCTGTCGCTACAAGTAGGCGCTGGCTCCACAGCATCTAACGACAATGACAAGGACAACAAAGAGATGCATGCTGGTGCCTCCTTCCACGCGCAGATGCATGTGCCTCTGTCCACATGTGCCTCCTTCAACATGCATGTGCCTCCTTCGACATGCATGTGCCTCCTCCGACATGCATGTGCCTCCTCCACATGCATGTGCCTTCCTTCAACACACATGTGCCTCCTTCCACGTACATGTGCACCCTTCCACATGTGTGCCTCCCTCCATGTGTGTGGGGAACAGAAGGATTTCTCTTAAGTTGTCTCCCCAAAATATATGCCAGACTTAGCTTGAGAATAATTGTTCACTAGGCAGCGGAAATAGGTCAGAGGTTATTCTCCTTAACATCAGCCATCTAGAGCGTCCAGACTGTATAGTCTGACTCACCCCAAATAGGGCCCATTCCTTTCTTGAAGCAGTGCCCATAGGCAAGCCCGGGACCACTCTAAGATGACTAAGCTTAGGTTAGTTACTATCTTGCCACACATGCCCCCTATTCTCTCCTCTTACTATTGCACATTCACCCCTAGGTCATCCCCCTCCTATTGCTTGTATTGCCTATGTTACAACCCCTCTCTATGACGTAGGTTGTTATCTGCTATCAGGGGGCTTGCATGCCTCCCAGGATAGTAATTGCCTGCTTTATTGTATGAGACACCAGAATGATCAAACCTGTTCAAGGATGAATTGTATTGCCCCTCTCTGTGATGCATGATGCTGTGATGTATCCCCCTAAAGTAATATGATGCATGGTTAGCAATAAATAAGGAGAGCTGCTCCTCAAGGGGGGCTGCTCCCAAGAGGTGGCTGGCCGAGGGTGGCTGGCAAAGGGCGGCTGAGGAAGGAGGGCTGCTCCCATGAGGGCTGCTCCCATGAGGGCGGTGGACGAGGGGGCAGCTCCCGCGAGGGAGGGAGGCGGCTCCTGCTCTGGCAGCTGGGTTCCCCCCACAAGGACCATCAAGCGGGGCGGAGGTAAGCAATGCTACCATGTAATATGTATGAATGTATTGTTGTATTATCTCTCATGCTCTTGATGACTTTAATATAATACTTATATATCTCAACCGTACAATTGTGCATTACTGAACCCAGAAGTAGTATTACTGAACCAGTGAGTTCAAGCAGTGGGTGGGGCTGGAACCCCACCTCCTCGGCGTCACTTTTAATTTAATACTACACATGTGCAAGTGACACCTCCACATACATGTGCCTCCTTCCACATACATGTGCCTCCCTCCATGTGCATGTGCCTTCTTGTACGTGCATGTGCACCCTTCCACATACATGTGCCTCCTTCCACATGCATGTGCCTTCTTCCACATGTATGAAGAGGGAAACAGAATTCGACAACAAACCCAAATATGAGTGTAAGTGTGGTTACTTAGAGGGCTCTGGAAAGAAGACAGCCCACTCCCTTCTCATATCTCTGATTCATAAAGATATTCCACAACAGGCAGACAGGCTCACTGGCCCCAGGCTCCCCCAAGCAGAGGAGGCTCAGCCTGTCCCTTGCTGAGGCAGGGTGACCTTTGGTTGGTGTCCAGCCTCACATGGTGGGTTCAGTGTGCATGTAAGTCCATCCGTCAGTGCCAGCAGGGCCAGGACGAGGCCTACATCTACCGACGGTTCAGAATGTCCCCTTCTCTTGCCCACACCTCTCCTGGGAGGCTCCCTTTGCATGTCCAGCCCTAGCGTCCTCAGCTGTAAAAGGAGGGGCCAGAAGACAGCTGTTGGCAGAGAATTGTTATGCTGGCCCAGTGACAGTGGACTCTCCGTCAAGGTCCAGGTACTAAGTATTTGAGGGTTCACAGGCCACACGGTCTCTGGAGCCACCGCTCAATCTACATCTACGGTCACACAGGAAAGCAGCCACTGACAGCAGCAAAGGGAGGCGGAGGCAGCGGATTCCCAACACCAATCCTGGCCTGCAGGCCTCAGGTCAGTCTGCTGCTCTGTGGAGGCGGAGTAACACTGTACCCTGTTTCCTCCTCCTTGGAAGGAAGGAAGGCACGAAGCTCAGCCAGGAGGGGTTCCCATCATTCTATCCATGCACACAGCAGCATGGATTCCGGAGCTGGATCACCTGGGTTTGACTCCTGACAGCACCACTAACTGGCGGTGTGACCTTGGATAAACGATTAACCTCCCTGGGTCTCATCATCTCAGTCCTATGAAAAGTTACATCACAGTAGAAACTACACCACAGGCCTATTGTAAAAAATAAGTGTGTTTACACATACGAAACCTTTACAGCATGCCTGGGGCATAAACCCAGTCAAACCCATGGGCCCTGAGTCGATGCCGACTCACGACGACCCTAGGGACCGGAAAGAAGGCCCCGTGTGGGTCTCTGAGGCTGTGGATGTTTACAAGAGCCTCCTCTTTCTCCTGAGGAGCGGCTGGTGGGTTCTAACTGCCGACCCTGCAGTTTGTTTTGTTTTTGTTTTTTTTTTAACATTTTATTAGGGGCTCATACAACTGTTATCCCAATCCATACACACACATCAATTGTGTAAAGCGTATTTGTACATCATTGCTCAAAACATTTTCTCTCCATTTAAACCCCCGACATTAGGTCCTCATTTTTCCCCTCCCTCCCTGCTCCCCCCTCCCACATGAGCCCTTGATAGTTTATAAATGGGTATTTTGTCATATCTTGCCCTGTCCGACTTCTCCCTTCATCCACTTTTCGGTTGTCTGTCCCCCAGGGAGGAGGTCACACACAGTTCCATGTAATCGGTTCCCTCTTTCCTACCCATTCTCCCTTTACCCTCCCTGTTTTGCGACCCTGCAGTTTGAAGCCCAACATGTAACCCACTATGCCACCAGGCTCTGCACCAGCAAGGGTAGCTATACTGTCACTAGTACAAGAATGCGTTCGAGGGGAGGCTTACCGGAGACAAACCTGCACCTCCATCTGGAAGAATCTTCCAACGGACCCTGAGCTTGAGCAGGCTGCCTGTGGAAAAGCACATTGAACCATGAACACCCAGCCTTACCCGGCCGGGACCCTCCAACCCCTGCAGAAACAAAGAAGTGCTTGCCTCGCTGAGCTTCTTGAAGACGAACGGGGTGCCTTGCCTTTGCCCTCGGTAGACGGCAGCAAAGGTGCCCTCACTGATCTTGTGGTCTGGGTTGAAGTCATTGGTCGCCTGGACCACGTCTGCCTCCCTCCAGAGAAGGCTGTCTCCGGCCAGGCTCCCCAGCTTCCCCGGCTCCTGAGTAGAGGTGTAGAAATCCTGGCAACCAGACACAGGACAGACGTTACTGTGGGAGCTTGTTTTCTCCACTACCTCCCAGAATCTACAACATCAGAGCTCAGGGGGAAAAAACACACCAACCAACCAACCAACCAACCAGCCCAGCTCACCGCATAGAGTCAACACTGACTCATAGCACCCTCTGTGGGTTTCCGAGACCATGAATGTTTAGGGGAGTAGAAAGCCCAGTCTTTCTCCCCAGGAGCTGTTGGTGGTTTCGAACTGTCAACCATGCAGATCACAGCCCAACGCGTAACCATTACACCACCAGGGCAACCCAGACACAGGACAGATGCTACTGTGGAAACTTGCTTTCTCCTTTGCCTCACAGACTCTAGGGCAGCAGTTCTCAACCTATGGGTCGTGACCCCTTTGGGGGTCGAACAACCCTTTCACAGGGGTTGCCTAAGACCACTGGAAAACATATAAATATTTCACAATATATAATTACATGTTATTTTTGTGATTAATCACTATACTTTAATTATGTGCAATTTGTAACAATGAAAATACATCCTGCATATCCGATACCTACATGTCGTCATAACAGTAGCAAAATGATAGCTATGAAATAGCAACAAAAATAATGTTATGGTTGGGGGTCACCACAACTTGAGGAACTGAATCAAAGAGTCGCGGCGGCGGCATTAGGAAGGTTGAGAACCACTGCTCTAGGACATCAGACCTGGGAAAGGGCCCGGCCATTCAGATTCTAAAACCACTGATGACTCAGTGCATGCAGGCTCCACAGAGACGCGGTGTCAGCGTGGGATCGGTATGGTGGGTCCTTCCAGTTTTGATGAAATGCGGTCATTTACTCGTGTGTGTGTGTGTGTGTGTGTGTGTGTGTGTGTGTGTGTACACGCGCGTGTGTGCATTCACACTCATGGATGAGAAGTGCCTGTGTTTGGGGCAGTGGAAATTAGGTGAGGGTGTTAGATCTCTCCCTCTAGTGGGGGAGGTAGACCTCAGTCCTTGGCTCCACGCGAGAAAGAATTCACGTTGAAGCCTGGTTTGTGATCCAAGTGAGTTTTATGAAAGTTAGAAGCAGTTTCAGGTTCTACAGTAAGTGGAACACGAGTCAGACAGAGTCCCCGGCACCATTGCGGGGCCTCGGCCCAGCCACACTGCATTGTGTGACAGCAGCTGGGGGAGAGAGCCAGAGAGCACACTCCTGGCCTTTTCAGCCCCACCCCTTGGGAGGCGTGGCCAACAATACTGGTCGACCCCATCGGCTGAATCAAATTCACCTGGCCCAGATGGGCCAATCCAGGTGTAACGCCCACCTAGGTGTACCACCCCTTCCTGGCCAGGGGCTTGAACCTAACATGGGTAATTTCCATTCTCATATGTACAGTATCCTCAATCTATGGGCATGACCTATAATGGTCATGAAGGAGCTTCCATTACCCAGGGAAGAGTGCTACAAAGGTCACGTGGAGGTCTGTGCTCAAATCCAAGTTCCTCCTTTAATGTGCTGTTGCCCTGAGCACGTTGCTTAACCCCAGGGGCCTCCATTGTCGGGAGCACCGACGAAGGTGACAGGCCATCAGGGGAGCATTTCGAGGACAATGTCCGATCAGAGTTCGCTCAGAGATGGGCATCAAGAAAATCAGTGGGCTAGAGACGGTCACACAACAGGCCAATGGCCAGGCTGAGTGTCCCATCCTGGTCCTCTACCTGGTCTCCATGCTGGGCCAGACGCCCTGCTATAAAAGCATACAGGTTCGTAGACCAAACGTGGTTCTGGGTAATCAGAGCTTCAGAGACCACATGTATGTACAATCTATGTTTTTACAAATAGCTTTGCTTCCATGACTTCCCTTTATAGAACATGTTCCTATGCATAAATTTAAGTTTGCTCACACTAACTGCACAAAGCAAAGGGTTAGGCAGAGCCTCCCTTCATTGCTTACTGGGTGGCAAGGATCAGCATGAGTCCGATTCCCACTCGGAGATGGGGCCAGTCTCCACCTTCCCACGTCTCCATTATCCTTGTGGCCCGTCCCTCCCTCCTGTGCCACTTTCTTATCCCTGGCCACCCTGAGCCATGTCAGCACATGCAAATTAGGCCTCTGTCCCCACAGTCCATGCCTGACAGTCCCCCTCACCGAGTCAGAGTCCACAAGGGAGAAGGACTCCCTCAACCTCACACCCACCGGGCTGACACCAGCCTCTGCTGGCTCACTGACCTCCCTCTCAGCAGCTCACAGAGTTCATGAAGACTGAGACCGTCCTTACTGCTGCCCATGTCTCATACGCAGGAAACATGTGAGCTAAGAGAGATGCAAGAGCTTTGCAGGGTCCCACAGGGGACCTCCGCTGTCCCCAGGGGCAATGCCACCTTCTCCTGCGTACAGCTGTCATCACCAACCCAAGAGTCCAGCGACTTCTACTCGTAGGACCCTCACAGCCCTGACTGACTGCCTCAATCCAGAAATGTGCATGAGCTATTGCATCGAGTTGCCAGGCCCAGGACTTGGGGTGCCCGGTCATTCCACACAGCTGAGAGGTTTTACGTAATCAAACTCCAAACCAAAGCCACTGCCAACGAATCACTCTAGCTCACAGGGACCCCATAGCGCGGGCAGAGTAGAACTGCTCCTCTGGGTTCCCACGGATGTGAGTCTTCACAGAAGCGGAAGGCCTCATCTTGCTTCCACGGAGCAGCTGGAGGGGTCAAACTGCCGACCTTGCGGTTCTTGGTGCAACACATAAGCCACTAGGGCTTTTCCTAATAAAGGCGCCTCAGCTGCTACAGAAATCCCAGTGGTGCTCGTTGAGAAACCACAGATAAGGTCAGCCTGAGCTCTCTGTCCCCCAGGTACACATGCTTCTGTTACAAAAAATCACCCACAGTGCCATTATCCACTGAACCCTAATGAGCAACGTCAGGATTTAGTTAATGAAAGGGGGACCATGCTGCATACGCAGATTTCATTTTTGGTGTTTCCACGCATATCACGATTATCCCAAGTATTTAAATGATCTCTCAAAACAGGGCTAATTGTTCAAAGCAAACAGCCTGGATTTGATTTGGCAAGTCTGTTTTGTGGGGGGGGGGACTTCATGGGTCAGGCCCAGCCAAATCTAGCTTCCCCAGCAGGTGTGCCTGGTGCAATCCCCAGTGTTTGTGGGAATCCCCCAAACCATTTAATTCCTCTTTAACATAACAAGAACAAAACAAAATGTCTAGAGTCAAAGGAAATACTTTTTATTTTTCATCCAACCTGGACTTTGTCTCTATAACCAACACAATCATAAAATGTGATTTCTAAAAACTAATTAATTAATTTAATTTTAAATGTATATGTGTGTGTGTATATATATGTATATATAAAATTTAATGGAGGAAAGAGCCAGTGAGAAGGCAGAAGCACCGGAGCCCATGGGTGTCAAAGTGTGGCGCTGAACCATGTCACTGGAAATTGAGAGTAGCGTCAACACGTGGGGAGGAAGGGGCTGTAACAAATGACTGTTGTAACCACTACATCTGGAGAGAGAGTGTCAGTCATCAGCTCTGGTTTAAACACAAGTAACTGGAAAGGCTCATTAAGAGCTGGTCTCACTAAACCACTGTCGCCCCCATCCCCACCCCACTCCGGCCCTCCCCAGTTTGGCTGATTTCTGGAACTCAGTCTCTGGGCCTCCTTCCTCCTCACCCTCAGGGAGTAAAGAAGCTGCATTTTGCCAAGGGAGCCCGGGGTGAGGGGCTGGGTTTACCTTTGCGTTGGGGGAAGCAGGGAGGTTGCTCGTTAAGGAGTGAGGGGTGTCTTCTTCAGAAAGAGACAGGAGAGAGCACTGCTGAGCGTCTGGGGCTGGAGCGGACCCTGTAAAGGAGGACAAGTGCTGGAGGGTCTCCCTGCCAGTCCCAGCCCCCTGCAGCCATTCACTCCCCACACGTGTCCCGACACACAGTGATGGCAGCAGCCAACACACTCCTCCAGGCCTACCTCAGCTAATCCTCATGATGCCCTGAGGAAGGGCCACTTGTCCCCCTCTAACAGGCGTGAGAGGGAGCAACCAGGGATCCGCTTGATTTTGCTCAGGGGATGCAGAGTTGACGGTGCTGGTGAGATAGCTGGGAATGGGCAGCAAGGATGGCCGCACGGTGGGAACACAAGTCAGGGACGCCAGATCCCACACACAGAGGTGTTGCATATGTGATACAGCCCAGATGTGCAGACGTGTTGCCTTGGCATATGTGAGACGGACTAGACATGTGGATGTGCTGCCTTGGCAAGAAGGGCTTCCGCCCAGTGGACACAGGAGGGCCTCCAGGCAGTGGACCAGAGCAAACAAAGGCGTGGTGGTGGGGAAGTCCCGGGTCAGGAAGGCCCCTTAGTTAGCAAACATTGCATCATGGCTGGCACTGTGCTGAATGCTTTACACACATGAACCAATCCTCACAGCAATGCCGTTCCAGCTCCTCTTTGCAGGTGGTGAAGCTGAAAGAGATGTTACGCAACTTTTTCCAGGGCGTACTGCCCATGGCAGGGCCAGCGTGGAACCGGCTGGCTCCGGAGTCCCTCGTGCGTGAAGATAAGTGAGGAAAGCAAGCTTGACAAGTTCAGGGCCAGTTAAGTCAGTTCAGGGGGCTGGCATTTCCTCACTAGGATTCAGTGTGGGGCCGGCCGGCTGACCGGGTTGGAGAGGGCAGCAGGCAGGGAGCAGTCAGCTGTGACCAAAGGCCATAGGCTCCCTTAATTTCTGGAAATATCCTGCTGCAGAGATGGTCTCTGAGTTACTCGGGGGCTGGCTCTTACAAGGGTTCCTGGGCCCAGCTGACCTCAGGGCCACTGGCCAAATCCACTGGGTTGAGGCATTCCCAGGTTACAACATCAGGAAAGAGGAAATCAACAAAAGGGGAAGAGCAGCAAGTAATTGAAACTTTGATTACAAAAGGGTGCATTCAGAAGACTGGAAACAGCACCGGGGCCAAACTAGAATCATCTTAACCAAACTGCCACCCAGGCCAAAAAGAAAACTAACACCCAGAAGCCATCACCGAGTCAACGCCGACTCCTGGCAAGCAGAGTGGCAGAAGAGCTCGACCCCAAGTGGCTTCCAGAGGCTGACTTCTCAGAAGCAACCCACACGCCTTTCTGTAGGTGCCTCTGGGGAGACTCAAGCCTCCAACCTTTGGGCTAGCGGCTCAGCGTGTTAATCATTTACGCCAGGATCCCCAAGAACCCAGGCAGGAGCTGATAAAACCCTCTTTACCTGAGATAAGGTCTGGGCTCCTTTCAGCATGAAGGAGGCCTGGCACAAAGGCTGCCCTGACCCTCCTTTCTTGGGTCTTCTGTAGCCCGAGTCTCTGTGGCACGAACACACCTGGCAGACCTCCAACCATGTGCCCTGAAATCCATTCCCGAATTTGCAGTGCAGTCACCTGCCCCTGGCTCCCCACCATGGGCTGATGTGGTCAGGGTCGGGAGTGAGGCACATGTGACCCCTGAGACAATTCTGGTAGCTGACTCAGGACTCCCCGAAAGACACTTCCTCCGTGTCTTTCTTTCCTCTCTCCACGTCCCCCAAAATACATCCATATCCTAATCCCTGGAATCTATCAATGTGATGGTATTTGGGGGAAAAACAATGTGGTGTTTATAATCTGCTCTGATCCGCACAGGCAGATGTTAGTAAAACACGGGCAGCACATCTCATCCGGGAATCCTCTGCCTTTGTTCGAGATCCACCCGACATCAGCAGTGATGTCCCTCATCCCAGTCTCGGAATCCAAACCTGGCTTGGGTTTCTGGTCGTTCCCTATCGATGTTTTTGCCTTATCTTTCACAAAATCTTATTTGCCTGCGATAATATCTTAAGGCTGTCGTCTGAAATGTCCCACATTCTGTCCACTCTCTTTGGAACGCACTCATATGGGAATCTTTTCCAGCTGGTGGCAGGGGTGTGCCTTTGGCGTTGCATCAGCTTGTCGGAGTACCTCACCTGGTATCCCGATTCCTAGAGCCTGGCTTCACACCGAAGCGCTCAGAGCAGCCTGGACTTCCTCCGTGAGCACCTGCAGGTCTTTATCACATGGCGGACAGCTCCTTTTGGTGCAGCGACTCTGTGCGTTCTCGCATCTTCTCGTGACGCTGCCTGCGCGGTTCAGTAGGTGGTCCACAGGACCCGTCAGTGCCACAACTCCAGGCTCGGTTCGGATTTTTCCTTCGATTCCTTCAGCGTCAGAGAGGCTGAGTGTGTCCTTCCCTTTGGATTTTCCAGGTCTTTGCACATTTTATGATAATACGTCTCTCTTCCCAACCACTCTTCTGCTTGGGTCTTTTCCGCCATCGTTTCTGCAGCTACTCAACATTCCGGAGAACATTTAAGTCTCTTCTGACATCCTTTTCAGTCTCCCTTTCCTGTCTTTCTAACGGCCTTTTGCCTTCTTCGTTTCATGATAAAAACAAAACAAGCAAATCCTCCCTGTCGTCAGATCCAAGCTGACTCACAGCGACCTCCCTGGAAGTTTCTGAGGCTCTCACTGTTGACTGGAGGAGAAAGCCCAGTCTTTCTCCCGAGGAGCTGCTGGTGGTTTTGAACTGCCGACCATTTTTGATTGCAGCCCAACGTGTAACCACCACACCACAAGTATGGTGCCATCCCATAGTTCATCTGGTCTTTGGTCAGTGTATCTGGTTCGTGATCAGTGGATCCGGTTACAGTCAAATCTGTTCTCGAGATGGTCTCTGAATTCAGGTGGGAGACGGCTCTTGTACTCTTGTTTCAATTTTCTGCCTTGAAAGTAGTACGGTCAGAATGCTTCTAAGAAGTGAGGACAGGAGCTTTTATCTCAGGTCACATAATCAGGAAGAACCAGCCCATAGAGAAGAACACCAGGTTTGGTAGAGTAGAGGTCAAGAAAACAGTGGGAGGCCCCAGTGTGACAGGTTGAAATGGGGCAACATCTCACTCTGCGTGTCCATGTGACTGAGAAACAGCCGCAGCAGACAGACAAGGCATATCCAAACCTGTGAGAGAGCAGTGTGACCGTGGGAGCAGAGGTTGGAGTGATGTAGCTACAGGTCAAGGAATCCGAGCAGCCCCCAGAAGCTGCTTTGGAGGAGGAAAAGACGAGATTTCACCCATTAGCCCTCCCCACCCCAACCTCGAATCCAAGCCCGTGGTCCAGATGCCAGAATCCTGGCCTCTGGAACCGTGTGAGAGTGAGTGTGTACTGTTTCAAGCTGCTGAAGTAGTTAATGCGTTACGGCACTCCTGCTTGCTTGCCGCACCTCCTCCAGTCCCCACCCAGCAGCAGCCTGGCTCTGGAGGCTGGGCCCCATCCCCATCGTCTGGCTGCCTGCCACATCTGTGCACCGGCTGCCCGGCTGCCCACCTGCCTAGGAGGGGCAGCTGTAATTCATGTCGCTCACCCTGTCTCAAACAAGACGCTCCTCGAACCCTAGGTCTCTGTGCTACTGCTGCTGCTGCTGCTGGGTCTAGCAGAGTCGATTCCGACCCACAGGAACCGCACGTGATGGAGTCAAACCGCCTCCCACCCTCCCACCCCACACCACCGGGTTCCTCCACTGTACATTCACAGGTCTTTCTCCCTCGGAGCTGATGGGGGCAGGGTGTCACCCGGCCAGCCCTGTTAGTGCCTTCCTCTCTGTGCTAGCTGTGTGTCTCCTGTCACTGCGCTGACTTCTGCCCTGTGGGTGGCCCATCCCAGCACCGGGTCCCAGGGCAGAGACCCCACTGGGCATGTGGTCTCTGTCTTCTCCTTCTGCTGGGTTCACACACCCAGCCACCTTTTTCTGGTGACTCAGCCGGAGTTTGCCCTGCAGGTGGAAGCAGGTCTCCTGTTTGGGGAGCTCCGTGGCCTTCTCTCACCCAGATGGGAACTTCCCCAGCAGGGGTGGAGGGTGGGGTGGAACACACAGACTTAGCCCATCTATTTATCCCTGTGGTTTGGGGGCGGGATCTGGGTCAATACCACAGGCAGACACACTGAAAAGGAACAAGAAGTCCTTTCTCTCCATGTCTTCTCCGCTTCCCCCTTTTCCATTCTCATCAATCAGTTCCTTGTGCTCGGCACTGGGAGGCGGCCTGAACCAAACAAACCAAGCAACCCAGCTCACTGCCATCAAGCCGATGCCAACTCACAGCGACTGGATTCAGAAGAGCCATCTTTCCATCCTCCAGCAGGACAGACTGCCGGCTCAACAGGGACATGGGATGGAATGGGAGTTGGCCAAAGCATTGACAGAAGAGACTCGGGGGGAGAGGCCTGGGCCTCCTGTGTGCCCCGGGGTGGTCAGAGGGATGGGGGGCACTCTCAGGTCACAGAGCCTCCCTAGGATTTGCTCAAAGTATCAGAAGTCACTGAAGCTGCGTGGTGGGCATTGTGCGCTCGCGAGACACTGCTCTGTGCTTCTGCAGGAGCTTTGAGGCTTTAAGTGGCAAAATGTTTAAAAAGAACATCCAAGGGAGGGGTGGGACATGGGTCCGGAAAGCAAGCAGAGCAAGACGCAGGTTCTGTGTTGTTGACCATCCCAGAAGCTGGATGATGGGGACACACGGACTCATTGTCCCACATTCTGTGCCTTGGCAGGTGTTTGAAACTTTTCATAATAAAAAAGAAGAGAGTGTAAGTTCCTTTGAAAACCCCTTCTTGACGTCTCGTCATAGTGGCTCATGCAGCACCTGTCCTCGAAGGAGACAGGCCTTCAGAGGACAACTGCCCCGTAACAGCAGGTTTTAAAAGGCCAAGTGTGGGGTTACTCACAGAAAGAACAATTCCCTGGCGGTCAGCCGGGAGGAGATGATGGAGGGAGGTAGCAGAGACAAGCTAATTCTGAGGACGGGAAAGGAAGGGCAATATGCAGTAAGTGGGGAGTCAGCTCAGCTCGCCCAAACCCAATGAAGATGTGGATGGTCCGCAACCGCCGGAGATGCTGGAATGTACCACAAGAACAGTAGTGGCAACTGAACATGTGAGTGGTCCCATGTGAGGAACAGAAGGATTTCTCTTAAGTTGTCTCCCCAAAATATATGCCAGACTTAGCTTGAGAATAACTGTTCATTAGGCAGCGAAAATAGGTCAGAGGTTATTCTCCTTAACATCAGCCATCTATAGCGGCCAGACTGTATAGTCTGACTCACCCCAAATAGGGCCCATTCCTTTCTGTTATTGTTCCCTCAAAGCAGTGCCCATAAGCAAGCCTGGGACCACTCTAACATGACTAAGCTTAGGCTACCATCTTGCCACACATGCCCCCCTATTCCCTCCTCTTACTATTGCACATTCACCCCTAGGTCATCCCCCTCCTATTGCTTGTATTGCCTATGCTGCAATCCCTCCCTATGACGCAGGTTGTTGTGAATTGTATTGCCCCTCTCTGTGATGCAGAATGCTGTGATGTATCCCCCTAAAGTAAGATGATGCGTGGTTAGCAATAAATAAGGAGGCTCCCTGGTTCTGACGAGGGTGGCTGGAGAAGGTGGCTGGCCGAGGGTGGCTGGCCGGAGGTGGCCGGCCGAGGGTGGCTGGCAGAGGGCGGCTGAGGAAGGAGGGCTGCTCCCATGAGGGCAGTGGACGAGAGGGCAGCTCCCGCGAGGGAGGCGGCTCCTGCTCTGGCAGCCGGGATCCCCCCACGAGGACCACCAAGCGGGGCGGAGGTGAGCAATGCTACCATGTAATATGTCTGACTGTATTATTGTATTATCTCTCATGCTCTCGATGACTTTAATATAATGCTTATATATCTCAACTGTACAATTGTGCATTACTGAACCCAGAAGTAGTATTACTGAACCAGTGAGTTCAAGCAGCGGGTGGGGCTGGCACCCCACTCCCCTGTAACATTTTTAATTTAATACTACAGTCCCAGAGGGAGCTGTGTACACTGCGGACAGTGTGGAGTACATGCCTCCACACGCACAGGTACACTTGTGTAGGTGTTGCATGTATAACTTCACTCACTGCCAAGTCCACCTTACAGGACAGGGCACAACTGCCCCTGCGGGTTTCCAAGACTGTACATCTTTACAGGGGTAGAAAACATCGTCTAGCTCCCTGAGAGCGGCTGGTGGTTTTGAACTGCTGACCTTGTGGTTAGCAGCCCGACGCATAACCACTGTGCCCCCATGGCTCTTTCTTTCCCCTTGATGTATAGCCTCATATATGTAATAAACATAACATAGAGCACACAGGACACTGATGGAAATTCCCTACAAACATCTAAACACCTGATAAGACAGTGTAACTGGGCGTGAAGGCTACAGACCACGGTCTTGGGAAACAACTAGGTCCATCAGCTCAGAGATAATGTTCTGCATCTCACTGGGTGAGTTGCATCTGGGTTGTACATCTGTGAGCAGCATCTAAGGGGCATCAACCTGTCTCCTCTCATCTGGAGCAAAGGTGAGGACAAAAACCAGACACACCAGGAAGCCATCTGTCCACAGGCTTCAGGGCCCATGTGACCCAGGACCCCACAGAGGACCGAGTGCTGAACTGCCCTGCCCCTCCAGCCCCTCACAGGGCACCCCCCTCCCACTACCCGGCGTGGAGGGTGCCTTGGCCCACCCATCTGCACCCAGATGAGAGGGTGACTGGGTGACAGATGACACCAACCCTGGTGTCACTGTTGCCTTTGCAACCCCTCCTCCTGTGTCACAGGCCTGGTGCTGCTGCTGCAGTGGCCTTGGGTCACTCTGGTACCACCCCTCCTGGGAGAATCAGGGTGGGTGGTCTGCATGCCCCAAGCACCCCAGTGCATGGGCTGGGCTCAGCGTGCCGGGCACCAGGGGTGGGTCCTCAGCAAGTGGCTCCACCTCCTGACACCCCCACCCCACTCCATGTGTGTTCTCCATGGGAATGCTGGGCCCAGTGAGGCCGTGGGGGTCTTCCCAAGAGAATGCAGGCCTGCGCTTACTGGGCGACAGAAGTGATCAATCTCCTGATTTCAGCTTGGGCACAAAGAGACGAAGGACTTCCTGTCTGTGTGTGCAGCTGACTCGACCATCCGGACTTCAAAGCGCAGAGGCAGGCAGAGCACAGGCCGTCTTCCCGTGACCCCAGGGGCAGAGGGGGTTCTGTGTGGGGCTGCTAACCACAGGGTCAGCAGGTGGAAACCACCAGCTGCTCTCAGGAGAAAGAGGAGGCTTTCTCCTCCAGTAAAGACGCAGTCTCAGAAACCAGGAGTCGGCATCGGCTCTCAGGCAGAGTGAGAGAGCGGCGAGGAGCAGGAGAGGAGGGGCGCGGCCATGACCTCCCCAGTGCACATGAGTGCACCCTTACTCATCGTTGTTCCCCAGCGCCCCGTTTGCTTTGGGGACATTGCCCCGTATCTTTAATTGCTGATCAAAGCTCTCCATTTTGGTTTTCGTTTTTTGTTTTCATAAAATCTTTTAGCTACAGGACATTAATTGAGATTCCTTGGCTTGGCCTGAAATTAAGTTTTCTAGACTCGACCTCTCGGGTGTGTTGGGTTACCTGTGGAGTGCTACTGAGACCAGCCAACATTTAATGAGCGCTTACTTGATGCTGCTTGGTCCCTGGCGGTGCAGTGGGTTACCACGGAGGTGCTAACTGCCAAAGTCAGCGGTTCGCACCACCAGTCACTCTGCAGGGGCGGGGGACGAAACTTCCTGCTCCTGTAAAGACTGATGGCCTGGGAACCCACAGGGGCACTTGCTTCAGCCCTGCCGTCCAGGGAGGGGCACTGGGGCTGGAGCTGACTCCGGGCAGTGGGTTTCCTTCCTGAAGTGCTTGCTTCCCTGTACTACCTGGGGAGGTAGGCTCCATTACAGCTCTGTTCCACGATGAAAAGGCCAAGCTCAGAGAGAGTGAGTCCTTCCCCGTCTAGAGAGTGGTGGAGCTGAGATTCCACCACAGATCTGTCTGACGTCTCCACCTCCGTGGCCCAGGCTCCAACCCAGCGAGCCTGCAGGGCTGGGATCCGTGGAGAGCAGACGGAGGCGTGAGAACAGAAACACGGGCGTGGGTAAGGCATCCTCTGGCTGAGTCCCTCTATCATTCCACAACTGGTCCCCAAGCACTCCCTCCAAACCAGCACCCACCCACCCTGCTGCGCCCCGCCCAAGCGCCAGGCAGCGAGACAAATCTGGAATGCCCTGGAGCCAGAAGGACAGCAGCTGTGGTGGTTAGAACAAGAAGCTTTTTCGACTGTCATAGCACAAATGCACACACACACACACACACACACACATCATAGCTGTGTGGTCTTAGGCAAGCTGCTTCCCTTCTTGGGGCTCTGCTGGAAGAGAGGCCACAGGGCGGGCAACAGCTCTCACCTCCCATTGCACAGGCCGACACCAACCGGCAGGGAGGGCTGGCCCTGTACTGCCTGAGACTCTGGGGAGCGGCACACTCAAGAGCCCCCCCCCTGCCACCCCCTCTCCCGAGTTGGGGTCCCAGATGACAGTACCTGGGCCCGGGCTGGAGGCTGGCTGCAGGGGCCGCCCCAGCTCCGGTTTATCCGAGGCGTTGCCCACTGTCACTGCCAAAGGCCCTCCTGGCTTCGCCGTGTCCAGAGAAGGAGTAGGAGAGTGGAGTTCTTGAACCGGTTTCCCTGAAAACAGGATGGAAAAGGAATGCGAGCTTATTCAGTGAACAGGTCAGCCAGGGGAAGGCTGGGTCCAGAAGCCAGAGATTGGGGCTAGTCCTGGCTCTGGCTGGCATGCATGCTGGGCCTTGGGCGGCTCCCCCACTCTCTGGTTCCCAGCCTTCTTGTGTGACACTCGGAGTCAGAAACACCCAGCTTCCAATCCGACTGGCTGTGTGACCTTAGACCTGCAGCTCTCAACCTGTGGGTCGTGACCCCTTTGGGGGTCAAATGACCCTTTCACGGGGGTTGCCCAATTCATAACAGTAGCAAAATGATAGTTACGAAGTAGCAACAAAAATGTTTTGGTTGGGGGGGGGGTTCCACAACATGAGGAACTGTATTAAAGAGCCGCGGCCTTAGGAAGGTTGAGAACCACTGCCTGAGACACTACTTTCCTTCTTTTTTTTTTTTAATCGTTTTATTAGGGGCTCATACATACATCAATTGCGTAAAGCGCATTTGACACTACTTTTCTTCTCTGAGCTGGCCGCACACGGGGAGGGGGCTTCTCCAATGGGCTTCAGGGGGTTCTAGATGCAGGCGGGGTCTGCAAGGTGGGTCTAACAGGGGCATTTCCTGCCGCTCAGCTTTGACCTGCAGGAGACCCCCCCCCTTAGGAGTCCCACCCCTAGCATACCCAGTTCATCGCCTCCAGGCTGGGTTTCCTTTGAGTGCTGGGGGGCTGTGGCAGGTGGAGAGCAGTCAGGAGACACAAATGAGTAAGCGGTGAAAACTAACTGAAAGGTGGGCCTTCCCCTACCCTCACCCCCGCGGTGCCTTTGCAGAAAGGCCCGGCAATCTGCACATGGAGACTGCCACCGAGTCCTGCCAACTCTTGGTGCCCCTACGGGACAGGGTAGAACTGCCCCCTCCACATTTCCGAGATCAGAAGAGTTTGCTGGAGCAGAAAGCCCCATCTTTCTCCCAAGAAGCGCCTGGTGGTTTTGATCTGCCAACACGTAACCTCTACGCCACCAGGGCTCCCCCTGCAGACCCCAGGTCCATGACGGCAGGAAACAGCCCCGCAGACCCCGCCTGCAGCCCCCTCCCCCACCCCGCATGCGGCCCAGCCCGTGGGGCCTGGACACCCTCACCCATGGGAGGGGCTGCGAACCAGAAGCCCTGTAGAGACACACCAGAGTCGGAACTGGCTTGAAGGCGGTGGGTTTTTTGGTCTGATGACCTACCTTCAGGCCCCTATTCCCGCTCAGTCTTAGCCTCTGCCTCTCTGTCAGGCCAGAACGGGCAGGGACAACTAGGCCACCAGATCATTGTGGCTGTGCTTTTGCCCGGAGGAAAGCCTGGTCTGTCTATGTGTCAGGGTTTCCCCAGTGACACACCGGCATGTGCATCCCACGCCAGCCAGGGGCAGCAGGGGGGGTGGGGGAAAGGGCCTGCAGGCCGTGCCCACACTCCCACACGGCAGGGCCGCGCTCGACCACAGATGTCAGCTGACAGCGCCGTCACCAGCTGCAGGGACCCTCGGAGGAGAAGCTTTGGTTTCCTGTGAAGCACCCACTCTGGTGGGCTTTGGAAGTTTTTTTCTTTCTCCGAGACAAACAATAAACAGTATTTACAGCCATGAAAACCTTCTGGTTTTACCCGAGTCCCTCGTGTTTGATCTGGAGGGGCAGGCTTCTTTCCATCATCAAAACCGGAAGAGGCAGGAAGCGTGGGGCTCCTCTGGGTACCGGTTCCCCATCTGAAAGCGAGGAGGGGCACCCCCACGCTTTCAACCCAGAGGTGGGGGGTGGGGCCCAGCATGCTGAAGTAAAAATAGAACGGGAGGCGAGGCAGCCACCCCGTTCAACGTTCAACGTATGGGGCCAACCTTTCCCACACACACAGGGCTTCCTGTCTGCCAGCTGGTCATGCGCCCTGGTGACTGACACACAGGGGCGCCTTGGGCTTTCTCTCTGTGACTAAGTTCTCCAAAGAATCCAGTGGGTGGAGTTGACCTTGCAGGGTCATGAAATGCACGATGACAGTTTTCCTGGGGTCACTGGGTAGAACCTGGAGTCCTGGGTTCAAATCCAGCCATCCAGCTGCATGCTGAGCTGCCTTTTCCTCTTAACTGAATGAAGGAAGATAGCTAGAAGCCCACCCTCCAGAACTCTTGTAAGGCCTAGGGGGAAGAGGTGGGCCAAGCTCGTGGCACAGGACTCACCCTGCAGGGGGCCTTGGCCAACCCAGAGCGAGGAGACACTAGGTACAGCAGAACAAGCAATGCCCCGTGATGGCTCTTGTGTGGGTCCTCTGTCACCACCCTGCACCCACTCTACCAACCATGACGTCCCGCTGGAAGTCCTACCCACACTATTCCAAATACCAGCAGGCCGCCCAGCGCTGTCAGGTCTCAGCGGAGCTTCCAGCCACAGACAGACCAGGAAGAAGGACGAGCTGGCCCACTTCTGAGAATGTGGACACCTTGTGAATGCTCCTCATCCCCGCCCACAGGTGCCACGGAGGGTCTGATGGAAACGCTGCTTGTGTTAGCCACCGCGGCGTGTATCCCAGTTCACGGGGGCCTCTTGTGTTTTGCGTGTGTGTGTGTGTGTGTGTGTGTGTGTGTGTGTGTGTTTTGCGTGTGTGTGATTCTAAGTGGGGGTGCTATGAATCCCCTGGGGGGAGGGGGGAGGTGTTAACATAAAGGAAGCATGGCAGTTACTGTATCAGACCTCCTCATCTAAGATTCGGGGACAGGAGCGTCCTTGTGTGAGGCTGCGTTGTCTAGAGGCGAAGGTCAGTGGCCCTCCAAGATGTATAAAAAGGGAATTTGTACTCCAAGGCCATTTTATATCAAGACGACATCCCAGCCCAGTCCAGCACAAGTCCACGGGTCAGAGGTTAGCTGGAGCCCCCTTCAGACACCCGCCCATCGTAGCTGCAAGCCAATAGCACAGGTGAAGTGGGGCACCCAGGAAGACCACATGCTGATGGGAGCGTGGGCGGAGAGCTCCCAGGTTGGCTTCCAGGGCCAGCGGCCCACATGGGGCCAATCCCTAGAGGCAGACACAGAATCCCAGCAAGTAGGGAGAGCCAAGGGCCAGGAGAGACCTTCTCACCGTCTCTCTTCTAAAAAGGCCACCCCCCCAAGGAGGCATCACCAGGCCACCACCTGATTGACAGGCTGGACTCTGCCCCCACCTCCACACAGGGGCCATCAAGTTGGCATCAACTCTGACCAGGACTATCACTACCAGCATCGACGGCCCCGGGCTAGGAGCTGGAGGCCCGGCCTTTTCCCTTTGACCAACGCTGACCCTCCCCCCCTGCACCCATCCCAGGGCACTTGCCATTCTCTGCTGCATTTGTTTGACCAGATGCTGCGAGGCCCACGCAGAACTCGCGGAACAAACCCCAGTGACGGCCTATGACTCCGGAGGTGGTTCTTTAGTCCACACACCTTCCCAGGCATGCAACCTGACCCCTGACCTGCTGTGGCACGTTTTTCAGTCTTTCAGCTGGGCTGAAGATCCCAGAAGGACCCCTGACTGCCAGTAAGCCTTGCCCTGGAAGGCATTCCTCTCTCCAGCATGCCAGCTGGAGGCTAGTGAGCCTACTTCCAAAGACAAGGGGCCAGAGGTGCCCCTGCTCCACCAGGACACCCCCTGTCTCTCACACTTAGGGTCAGTACACCCACTGCAGGCCCTGCTCTGTGGGCCACGAAGCCAACCATGCCACCCCCACCCGTCTCTGGTGATACCAAGCTCTCTCCCCACCTCCTGGGTCAGGGTGGGCTCAGAGCAGGGCCCGGTGGGCGTGCTCTGCCCTGTCTCTTCTCTCTGGTAGCAGGAGGCTGCCCCAGGCTGAGACTGATTCTCTGAGCTGGCAGAATGGCAAAACGGAACAACTCCCATTAGAGTGCTCGCCACCTTAGTTGCATGGTCCCACCCACAGGGTTCCATGCACTTTTCTTTAATTAGCAGGCTGTCCATGTCCCCTGGTGGGACATAAGCACCTAATTTGCATAGTCCTATCCAGTCACTTCCTGGAGTTACAGGACCATACTTGGCTCAAAAAACAAAACCAAAAATATCCCTCCTGGCCATCGAGTCCACTCTCTAGGGCAGGGGGCCCCTGTGGGTTCTGGAGACTAACTGTTTAAGGGAGTAAAAAGCCCCATCTGGCTCCCTCAGAGCAGCTGGTGGTTTCGAACTGCTGGCCACTCGTAAGCACTCCACCACCAGGGTGACAAAGGCCAGATGAGGCCATTCACGGCACCACACCCCACAAATGGGTGTTGTCAGTTCTAACCAGTCTTCCTGTGGCTATAACCCCACAAGGGCTGGCTGATGGGGCGACCTCTTTTCTCAGTGTCAGATGCTCCAGATGTGGCTCCCTCTCCCCAGTGATGAGGCACACAGCCAGTTTCGGCGGGCAGGTGGCCTGAGGACCTGTCTTTCTGAGCCCCTGTCTATTCAGCTCTGACTGCAACCCTTCTGGGGCGAAGGCCCGGCTGTGACCCCTGTTTTCTGCTGGAAGAAAGGGAAGCCCAAAGCAGCTGTCTGATTGTGAAACTGAACCCAGCAAACCCCGCCTCCATTCAAAGGTTTAGATTTTTGGCTGTTGATTTATGCTCTCCTTCCATCCATCTGCCCGTCCAAAAGACTAAAGGCACCTGGCTCAAGAGCGAGGCACTGCACTTTGGAGACCCTGCCTGTTAGCCTGCCAAGTGCCGGGCCTTGGGGGGAGGGACCTCAAGGCGGTAGGGAGGCGGCTTTTTCTCAGTGAAATTCTGGAAATCTCCCGGGCTCCACCGCCCTTTGGGTAAGCAGTGACAAAATAATTGTTGCACTTGTCTTTGCTCTTAAACTGACTCATGGGGCTGGAATGCGGCCCTCCCAGCACAAACCAAAGTGATTCACCACCACCAGAGTCCTGGTGTCACCTGGACCTCTCTCCGGGCCTCTTGTCCGGCTCAGCCATCTTGGGCATTCGTGGGCCAGCACACTACCACATTC